CATTTTTCCCCTGTGGGTGCTCCAGTCCCAAGGCATCCACAGAGTTGGTTCCTATGTCCTTATGCTCTCATTTCTTCCTTGCCTTAAAATCTTGAACTCAGACATTTCATGATCACTCTCACTCATGTTGCCTTTCACCTTCAGATCTGCAAACAATTCCTCTCTGTTGATCAGAATCTATGACTGCCTCACTTGTTACTTCCTCCATCTTCTGAAACAAGAAGAAAAACAATGAGGAGTCCTTGTGGCACCTTAGAAATTAACAAATTTATCTGGGCATAAGCTTTCGTGGGCTAGAACCCACTTCATCAGATGCACAGATGAAGTGAGTTTTAGCCCACAAAAGCTTATGCCCCAAAAATTTGTTAGTCTCTAAGGTGCCACAAGGACTCCTCGTTGTTTTTGCTGATACAGACTAACACGACTACCACTCTGAAACCTGAAACAAGAAGTTGTCCCCAGCTGTGATGGAGATGTGCTCCCCACACTCACCCTGAAGGGATTAACATAGGCCAGAGGGTGCAATTAACCTAATAGACTGCAAACCGTGAGACATTTACCTTGAGAGGAGAGCCCTAATTAATGGCCACTCACCTGTGTGGGAACAGACGTGGCTTCTATAAGACCACGGAGCTGGTAGCCAGAGCCGCCCCTTGGGTACAGCGAATAGGGGCGACTGCTCTGGGCCCCGCGTTTCAGTGTGTGGGGGGGGGCGCTAGGCCGGCCTGGGTCAGGTGAGGTTAGGGGTGCCTGGGGGGCCAGACCAGCCTGGGAGGTGGGATTAGGAGTTCGGGGAGGCCAGGCCGGCTGGCAGCAGGGGGCCTGGCGCTGGAAGCAAGGGTCGGGCCTGCACTCACCGGCAGGGAGCACCCTCCAGCACATTGTATTTCTTTTTCTTGCTTGGCATCGCAGGGCTCAGTCTCCAGCAGTGACCCCAGCCCAGCCCCGCTGGCTCCCAGCATCAACCGCCGCTGCACCAGGCGCCAGCATCCTAGCGCCGCTGGAACACACCAGCGCCAGGCTGACCCCATCCATTGCCCTTCCACCCCGGATCCCTCCCTTTTCTGGGACCCCCCCACCAGAATAGGGGGCCCCCTGGCTCCTAACACATGTGCCACCCTGCAACTCTCCATCATCCCTCGCCCCCTGGCACTGGTGTCCCCGCCCCACACCAGATTTAACCTGTATAAAAAATGTTAAGGGGAGCCCATACAGGCTGATTTGTCCTGGGCCCTGCACCCCTCTAAGGACAGCCCTGCAGGTAGCAGAAAGGGGGCTGCAGGGAGGAGAGCTGCAGTCACTTCCCTGGGACAAGGAAGAGTTTGTCTAGCAGACTCAGAGACAGGGGTTTAGCTAGTCGGGCAGACAATGCAAGCTTGGGATAGGCAACATAGGAACTAGTTCTGGGGCATGACAGGAAGGTTTGTGGTAGTATTGACCTTAGCTGCTGGAGACAGGGCCCCTGGGCTGGAACCAGTATAGGGGATGAGCCTGGGTTCCCCTACCAGCCACTGAGTGAGTGGCACAATCTGGTCAATTAATTTGACGACTGTCTAGGACCGTTCATTCTAGTCACTGAGGGAGTGGCTCAGCTAAGGCAGTGGAGTTAAGGACTGCCTGGGGCAGTGTGGAAGACTGACAGTACTCCAGATGTGGAGGACTGCTGTGACTTGGCTGGAGGGCTAAGGCACGAAGATGAGGTGTAGCAGCTCCTGAGGAGCAAGAGAGAGGCCACAGAGCGAGAGCGTGAGATGACGGGCCTAACAACTGCAAGAAGAGACTCTCAGGCTGGCAGACCTACTCCCCAGACATGGCCAGAAGGAGGTTCTCCGGTGATGAGTACAGGTCCCCATGACACCAACACATTCCAAGAACTCATTGGACATTTTGAGTTTTGCTTTATTACTTTTGCAGCACATATCTGGTAGTTAAATTCCCCAATTATCACCAAGTCTTGTGTTTTCGATATTTGTTATTCTAGAAAACCCTCATCCATCTCCTGGTTTGGTGGTCTATAGTAGACTCCTACCATTACATCACCCCTATTTTCCCCCCCTTATATCTTCACCCAGACACTTTCAACTGGTCTGACTCTCACCTCTTTCTGAACCTCAGAACAAGAGTATATATTCTTGATGTACAAAGCAACACCTCCTCCCTTTTTTCTCCTACATGTCCTTCCTGAGCAAGCCATACCCCTTTATATCAATATTCCAGGCATGAGATTTATAGCTCTTCAAACATAGCTTCCCAATTTTGTTCTAGGCCAATGCAGTGGAGCATAAGGGCTGCCTACACAGCAAACATTATCATTTTTGGGGATTCTTCTATAACACAAAAGTCCCCTGATTATGATGAAACAGTTTGGTCTTGGCTTGTCTAAGCAAAATGCCAGTGCACCCATCCCAGCAGCAAATTACAAGTGCCCCAGACCAGTTCACCTGCACAGCATTGGAAATAGAGCCAAGACTCCACCCAATCCCCACCTACCTGCTCTGAGTGCAGGGAGCAGCAGGCATGAGCACTGGCTTACTCTTGTGTGCCTCAATCCAAGACCTGGGTAGTCCTGATTCTTACTCTCTGATCCCCCCTGTGTGAGCTTATAGTTCAAGTCACTAGCCATTAGCGGGAACATGCAATTTGCAGCGTTCATCAGTTTAAAAGGGAAATATTTCAATAATGTACCTCTAAAAATACACTCATTAGGCAAGCCACTCAACAGAAAAAAATACCAGCATGGTACTTCATGGCAGGAGCCACAATAATGGAAGCAATATAAATCTCCAAGGAATCATACAGCAAAACTGCCTGCTATGTTTATTTTTCAGTTATAGCAACTCAACTTTCTCATGGTTTGTGTTTTTGTTCTGTCACATTAAACAGAAATGTTGATTTAGTTTGGGCCAATAGATTAGTTGTCATTCAAACCCATAACCATAGATATATATTTTAATTGTAAATTAAAGCTGTGTGCATGAATGAATCTATGAATTCATTTTAATGTCTAATAATAAATAAGAAAAACACCCGTACATAGGGGTCTATCAAATTCATGACCATGAAAATCACGTCACGGACTGTAAAATCTGGCCTTTTGTGTACTCTTACACAAAAAAAGTAGGGTAAAAGTATACAGAAGTACACAGCATTTCTCAAAGTGGGGATCCTGACCCAAAAGTGGGCCCCAAGCCTATTGGGGTGAGGGTTGCAATATTATCAACCTTACTTCCACACTGCCTTCAGAGCATAGCAGCTGCTGGCCAGGTGCCCAGCTCTGAAGGCATCATCACTGCCAGCAGAAGCAGAGAAAGGTGGCAATACCATACTACGCCACCCTTCCTTCTGTGCTGCTACTGGCAGCGGCACTGCCTTCAGAGCTGGGCACCCGGCCAGCAGCTGCCACTCTCCACTCTGCCTTCAGAGCTGGGCACCCGGCCAGCAGCTGCCACTCTCCACTCTGCCTTCAGAGCTGGGCACCCGGCCAGCAGCTGCCACTCTCCACTCTGCCTTCAGAGCTGGGCAACTGGAGAGCAGTGGCTGCTGGCCGGGCACCTGGGGGTGTAAATTATTACAGACACATGGAAGAGGGGTGCAAACAAATAACTATTAGAACCACTGCCGTCGAACAGTTTCCCCGTGTACCTGTAGCTATAAGAGGGATCCAGAGTTCCTGGACAGCCTCCCACCTCTTTTTCACCAAGATCTGGATACCCTTCAGTTCAAACACCTTCCATTTCAAAAGCGTTTGCAGGGATTTTTTCTTCAGTCACTATAGATATTTAAAGTGGGGAAAGCTCCATCCTATCTTAATTTTTGAAGACTGAAGTTTTCTTTTCAGTTTTAAGCTGTTCCCATTTGCTCTGATGGTTCCTCATTGTTTTTTCCTGGGCTAACATTAGCTAGGTGCTTGAAGCCAGTTGTATCTTTTTGGGGAGGTTGCCCCTCTCCAACTGATAACTTCACTGCCCTGTTATAAGGTGATGCTGAAGAAGTTACACCACAGTTGCAATTACAATTTTCTTCATCATATTATATGTATAAAAATACGCACACATACGTTCATCACCGTAACCTGTATTCACATCTCATCGTGACTATTGAGCTCAGTGCATTACAAGCTTTCATAAAAGAGCTTACTCAATATACTCTGACAGTTAAATATCACAGTATGCAAATAGTTGGTTTAACTGCTTATTTGGGGTGGGGGATTAAACCTTCGTTTTTTATTCTTGAGGTGCCTGGACTTTCACAGATGTATCCCCCTCTTCCTCCACTACCATATACCCCTTTTCTATTGTCAGTTTTCCATTGGTCACTCAGCTCTAATGGTCCCCAAACTGTGGGACATGCCCCCTAGAGGGTCACAGAGGAATGTTCAGGGTGCCATGTGGCCAGACCCAGGCCAGCCCTCACAGGGGGTGGGGCGGGAGCACCACACTTCCATCCCTTCTCCACCCCAGCCTCGCTCCTCCCCCAACCCCGTTCAGCCCCCAGTCCTGCTCTGCCTCCAGGCCCAGGAGAGCCCCCATGGGGGCTGGGAAGGGAGCGCCATGCCCCAAACCCAGCTTTGCCACCACCCCCATTCAGCCCCTAGTCCTGCTCTCCCTCTGGCCCAGCTTCACCTTCAGGCCAGATCCACCCCCTGACCCATTCCACCCCCAACCCAGCTCTGCCTTCATTCCCTCTCTGCCCCAGACCAACTCCATCTCTAGGCCCAGCTTCTCCCCCATTCCCAGCTCTGCCTTCAGCCCAGGCTCTACTGCTGAGGAAGCCTTGGTTGTGTAGTAATGGAGGGGGGACACAGACAGATTCCGTTGATGGTGGGGCGGAGTGGGGGCACAACTGGAAAAGTTTGCACACCACTGCTCTAATGGTTACCCAACAAGTTAGCTTGCCCCTATGATCTTCCAAGCTCCAGTCTACAGGGCTTTGTACAGTAAAATTCTATCAATACTCACCATCAAACTTGGCATTTATTTATTATCGTTAAAGTCACGTACCTGTTTTTCATGTTTTGGGGTCATCCTCAAAACAGAAGCTAAAAATCAACCTGTAAAACAAAATGGGAAAACTAGTTAGCCCTTAACTTACTGTAAAATAGGGCTATGTAATCCTTCTGCCACAAGAGAACAGGCCAGATCAGGTTCTATATAATATGGTGCCTAGGGTTATAGCTAGGGGGTCTCTGAGAGAATAAACAAGTGGCTTGAACCCCTACCTAAAACTATACACTTCAGATGGAAAACGTCAACAAATGGAGTGGAGGCACAGTGCAAGTTCCCTCATGGGCATTTCTCTGGCACGCAGGAGTCCTTTGTAGACAGAGATGGAGTGGGTGCTGCCTATGCCTTTCTCCCTGCAGCCTCTGCACAGTCCTGTGTGCCTGGGTTGGGGGAGTGGAGGACACGATACACTCCATCCAGCTACAGATGGTCCTTTGAGGAACTACAGCAAAAACTGGGGTCTAAACTGCAACCTTGGAGCTGGGGCCAAGCAGAAACTCGAGGAGCTGCAAATGGCTTCCTGACACTCTCTTCTGCTGTGTCCAGCATGATCTGGATTAAGCAGATTACCTGACCCATTAACTTTCTTTGCACAATAATTTATAAGTATTCATAGAATCATAGAATATCAGAGTTGGAAGGGACCTCAGGAGATCATCTGGTCCAACCCCCTGCTCAAAGCAGGCACAATTCCCAATTTTTTCCCCCCAAAGAGATTGAACTCACAACCCTGGGTTTAGCAGGCCAATGCTCAAACCACTGAGCTATCCCTCCCCCTGCTCTGAAACAGGAACTGGAAAAGCATTTTGCAAAATGTATTGTGATATCTTATTTCATAACTGCCTACAGCCTTACTTGGTGAATCACATAATATGCTCAGTCCAATTATACCAGAATATTACCAAGATCTTGTCCACACTAAAACTGGAACCATGCCAGCAAGAACCATGACATAGGGTTGTTGTTATCTGGATTCCAGCACAGCTTCCCTAAGGAGGGTAGAAAGGGGTCCTTCCCTCCCCACCTGCCCCCCAGCCACAGTATAAAATCACTAGAGTAACTTTTTGAGACAGATTAAATGTTAATAAATAGTGTGCAAAACAGATAGTATGAAAAGTAATGTGGGACTTTCCCTGCTTCTCACAAAATTATAAAACTGTGCTATAAATTACATAATCCATTCTCATGATTCATAAGGTCATACCTATAGGCACAATATGGATCATAAAGAAGAACACCGATATGAATTAGAGTGCAGAACTATTTTTGGAATCATATTATACATTAGGGAATAAGACAAAGAACATCTGCATTAGGATTGATATAGGGATTTTTTTCATAAATATGTCTTAAAACATGCTATAGATAACCTAGTCTAGAACATGGTTGTAAAGAAAAATCTTCCCACACTATGAGCGACCTTCCAGAATACAAGCTTTAGGTGTGGGTAAATTTCATGGAGTCAGAGTTATGTTGTGTGGGGGGGGGGGAGGGGGGGGGTTAAGTTCTTCTCTAAAATTAGTGAATGTGTTCAGGATAGATGAATACCGCTGAAAAGCTAAACTGGGTTGTATGCAGTTTATATAGCTACACACAAACCCCTATGTGGAAGTGGTGCCCATGTCCAAAATTAAGTTATAATGCATATGGCTCTACAATGTTGCATGCACCTCTGACCATTGCACCTACACTCTACCCACTAACCTAGTCTCTTCCGGGAATACATTCCAAATCTCTGAGTAGTTTCAAAACAACTTTTTCTTTCCAAATCTACCTGAGAGAGAGTGCTATTTCTCCCTCAGGATTACCCACAGCCCACAATGGACAATATTTATCTGTGCACCAGTGAAAGGTTTCAGTTTCAATTTCACATACTTAAAGACCAAAACCAGGAGCTTATACCATTAGAAAGGGTAGACCACCACATCATTGGTACCTTCCAAAGGATATGGACAGCACTTACATCTCGCTCTGGAATCTCCTGAGCTATCAGACTTTCCAGTCACTGCACGTTATATCTAGAAAATACACTACTAGTAATTTTAGGAGAGTCTTACACGTTTATTAAATTGAACCTTATCCATATGGAAACTAGAACCAAAATAACTAAATTGTACCTAATTCACACCTCTAATTATTTAGGTACAAGTCTGTATGTGGACATTCTTAGGTCCCGATCCTGCTTACACACATACTTAACTTTACTACACTGAGTAGTTCCATTGATTTCAATGCAATCACTCATAATAGCAAGATTAAGTATAAGTGTAAGTCATTTCAGGGTCAGGGCCTTATTTTGGAATAAGAGTGTCCAGACTCAAGCCTTCACTGAAATAGCAAAAGTGAATTACAACAAATTTAGTTATTTCAGTTCCAATTTCCGTGTAAATAAGGCCTTAGTTTTATTTTCCCTGCCCCGAAAGTCCGTATAGTTGAATTCACAGCAGAGAGATACAAAAATGTAGTCCCAATATATTTTAAAAACCTCTACAATATTCCAAAAATACTTTTTCTGCAACATATGGCATATACATAGTATATGATGATGTTGTTTAACATAAAGGTTTTATTAACATGCCTGCGGGCGGAACTGATTAGCATATTGTGTTTTGATACTCTGAAGGTGAAAGTTGTCCTTCAAAGCAGACATAAGATAACATGTTTCACCCATTACCAACATGTCCAAACCAGTGTGGAGGAAAAATTATTTTATTACATCATTAAGATGAGGTGACCCCATCGTTTATGATGAGAACTAGGGCTGAACAAAAAAATTTCAAAAATAAGAGTGGCAGTGGGGAATTCTGTGAAAATGTTTACAATATGTATTTCAAGCTGCTCTATTTGTGAAGTCAGTAGGTTCTATTCTATAGGTTCTTATACCACTTGTGACGCTGTATGATTGAAATATAACCATTTATGTCATTAATATTGCCAGTTAGACAAGTACAACAAAACTTGTACAAAGTATATCATGTAAGGAGTCAATGGAAAAGTTATGATTCATTAAAGATGATTATCTTCTTTAAATCCATGTATCACCACTTTATCTGAAGTTATAAATATTGGCTATAGATCTATATCCCAAATGTGTTTGTTCCTGAGCTAACACCCTCCTGGTAAAATCTACATTGAAGCCAGACAGCTTTGTGTTGATGGCCCATCAAAAGGCAATTTAACTCTCACAATGGGCCATTGAAGAAACTCATTCTGCCCAGATGGATCTTCCTGTAGATTCCAAATGGCCAGTGGCTGCACCTGTGAGTCAGCAAGCCATGTAAGGGCATGTGACATAATCAGGTGACCCTGGACTCCATCTTGTGCCAGTATCTTTCCATAAACTAGGCTATGAGCTTTGTTTGAGATAGTAAAATTCCATCCACATGGGAGAGGATATAAAAGACGCCTGGAACATCTCCATGTTGCCTCTTTCCTGTTCTAATACTCTGGACATATAACTAAAAGGAGCACTCTGACTATGGACTGAAGATCTTCCAATCTTTTGGAAGCTACCAGAGACTTTTCAAGCCAACAGTCTGTAACACCACTGCTACAAACCTGATCCAAAGGAATGATTGTGTGAGTATACCATTTTAACCTCTCTTCTTTTCTCTTAAACCTTTAGATTTTAGTTATGAAAGGATTGGAAGCAGCATGATTATTGGGTAAGATCTGAGTTATATATTGACTTGGCAATGTGGCTGATCTCTTGAGATCAGAAGAACTGGTTTAAACTGGTTTTCAATAACCACTTAAAGTCTAGTGTCTGGGTGGTGAAATAAGTGCTCGAATGCCTAAGGAGACTGCTTTTAGAACAGGAGTACTTGTGGCACCTTAGATACAAACAAATTTATTAGAGCATAAGCTTTTGTGGGCTACAGCTCACTTCATCGGATGCACAGAATGGAACATATAGTGTGCGTGTGTGTGTATATATATACACACACACACACACATTCAGAGAAGGTGGAAGTTGCCATACAAACTGTAAGATACTAATTTATTAAGATAAGCTATTATAGGCGGGAGGAAAAAAAACTTTTGTAGTGATAATCAAGATGACCCATTTAGACAGTTGACAAGGTGTGAGGATACTTAACATAGGGAAATAGATTCAATATGTATAATGACCCAGCCACTCCCAGTCTCTATTCAAACCCAAGTTAATGGTATCTTGTTTGCATATTAATTCAAACTTAGCAGTTTCTTGCTGGAGTCTGTTATTGAAGCTTTTCTGTTGCAAAATTGCCACCCTTAAGTCTTTTACTGAGTGGCCAGAGAGGTTGAAGTGTTCTCCTATTGGTTTTTGAATGTTATGATTCCTGATGTCAGATTTGTGTCCATTTATTCTTTTGCATAGAGACTGTCCAGTTTGGCCAATGTACGTGGCAGAGGGGCATTGCTGGCACATGATGGCATATATCATATTGATAGATGTGCAGGTGAACGAGCCCGATGGCGTGGCTGTGATTAGGTCCTATGATGGTGTCACTTGAATAAATACGTGGACACATTTGGCATCGGGCTTTGTTGCAAGGATAGGTTCCTGGGTTAGTGTTTTTGTTGTGTGGCGTGTGGTTGCTGGAGAGTATTTGCTTCAGGTTGGGGGGCTGTCTGTAAGCGAGGACTGGTCTGTCTCCCAAGATCTGTGAGAGTGACAGATCATTTTTCAGGATAAGTTGTAAATCTTTGATGATGTGCTGGAGAGGTTTTAGTTGGGGGCTGAAGGTGACGGCGAGTGGCATTCTGCTATTTTCTTTGTTGGGCTTGTCCTGTAGTAGGTGACTTCTGGGTACTCTTCTGGCTCTGTCAATTTGTTTTTTCATTTCAGCAGGTGGGTATTGTAGTTTTAAGAATGCTTGATAGAGATCTTGTAGGTGTTTGTCTCTGTCTGAGGGATAGGAGCAAATGCAGTTTTATCTTAGAGCTTGGCTGTAGACAATGGATTGTGTGGTGTGTTCTGGATGGAAGCTGGAGGCATGCAGGTAAGTATAGTGGTCAGTAGGTTTCCGGTATAGAGTGGTGTTTGTGTGACCATCGCTTATTA